AGAACAATCCCTGACGTCTGTAAGCTACTTGAACATAGTTGCAGACCAGGTTCACCCATTCATGGCAACAGTTTTTCCTGCGGGAAATGGTGTTTACCAACAGGATAATGCACCATGTCATAAGAGTCGAATCGTCGAGGAACATTCCAGTAACTTTCAAGTCATGTCTTGGCCCCCAAATTCACCCGATCTTAATCCAATAGAGCATTTGTGATCCTACTGGGAAAACCAAATTTGTGCTGCCACGCTACCCCCTCGCAATGTGAGGGAATTGCAGAACCAGTTGGTGAGCGCTTGGTACCAGATACCTCCGGCTACCTATCAGCACCTTGTGGAATCAATGCCACGGCTGGTGCTAGCAGTTTTGAGGCCTAAAGGTGGTCCCACATGTTATTAGCAGGGTGGTCATAATGTAATGGCTCTTCGGTGTATATACTCTGTTACCTATCAGTGTGAAACTTTTTTATATCGCTTAATTTTTTTCCTCATTTTTTCGTATAACTTAGCTATAGTTTTAAAATAAAATTCAAAGAATCTAAAAAAAGCCAGCATTTAATGGAACAAGAGCATTTTTTCACTCAAGATTTTTTCCCCTTTTTTTCAGTAATCATCCTGTATTCAAATCTTTCACCTTTTGCTCAAATCTAATTCACTTTTCCTTCACATCGCTGTTTCAGATATCAGCTATTTTTTCAGGATACCACATATTATCAAATAAAATGGCAATCTGATTTAATTAAAACTGAAATCACTTGTATTACTGAAAATGGATATCATAACTTTGGATCCATTAACTTCTGCTTTTGCTTTAATTATAAAAATTTACTTTTCTTATGTATTTTAGTTTTTTTTTCTTTTTACTTATTAAATTTAGCATGCTATGCTGAACTTTATTTGTCGATTTTTCTGGACAAAATTTTGATCGTTTTCTGTATAGCCGTTTCACAATTACATGCAAAGTTTTGGATCTGTCTTGCTGTTTTTCGTAAGTTAAATATGTCAAGCAAAGATTAATTTTGTGGTATTGGAAAGCCAAATATCTTATTGCAGGAACCTTGAAAAATATTCATACGAAATTTGCATATTAAAATTTTCAGAAGTTACATACGATATCATTTAATCCAGTAAATAATTAAACAAGTAATTTAATCAAGCAATTTAATCAAGCTATGCCTCAGAACTTGCATCATTGGCATTCGCTTGAAAAAAGTTTCTATCCTTACACACTGTTTATAAAGGCTGTGCAATTCAGATTATATAATGTTTTTAACCATTTATCGTAATATGAGACAATTTTTTCATAGGACTATTCCATTGAACAACATACAGTATCTTGGAGAACTGATTGTTAACGAAAGCGATGACTTGGAGGTTAAATGTGTGAGCAGATGAATAATTCCTTCCCTAGTTGTATCTTTTATTTACAGATAGAGTTCTTATGAAATCTCTTAATTTTAGCATATTTTTAAGGGAAAAATCAGTCTTTATTGTCTCAAAACGTAGGGGTGTGATTTTTAAATAGCATTTATATGCAAATTTGATCTTTTTTTTTCTCTTGACAATAGGGAAAGATCCCATTGATTTTTTCCTATGTATTAGTAGATACATTTACCTACAGGATGATATAATTAGCCCTTTTGAACGACGATGCAGTTTTGAAAACCAGGAAAAAATTACACATTTTGCATTTTTTTGAAGTTTGAATAGCTATATCAACTAAAAGCATCAATAACTCAGGAAAGTTGTGTCACAGAACTTATCCCAATTGTGAACTTTAATATTCAGGGAAAGAAACTATTGGGATGCTGTTTTACCAAGATTTTCTGGGCAGAAAAGTGCTAAGACTCGAATTTTTCACTAACTTTGAAACAACACAATTCTGAAAAGCAACAATGCCCCATGGTAACTAGTACATGTCCATGACTAGGCACGAATGTACTAATGTAGCAAAACTTAGGGGTGTTGTTGCTTTCTTCAGATAAACCCCAATAAAAAAAATAGTTATAATTTCAGATTTTTGTCAGAATTCCAAAATAATGACTCTTAAAGAAGACGTTTGCTTAATTTGTTTATCGAATTTTCTTTATCGTCTCATGAAGTAATGCTTTTTGTGAATAGTATGCTATTTCATAACTGCTGTGAGTTTGCATTTGTTGCTTATGACTGTTAGGTCAAGTTTTGCTTATCTTTAGTCAATGCCTTTTATGTCTATTCTGAAAATGACGCAAAATGTAAATATGGAGAAAAGGTTTTCATAAAATGGTTGAGAAAATGAAGCTTTTGTGTTCTAAATTTTCAACGTATAAAAAATTATTCCAATATCGCATAATCTGGACTCATAAGAATTTGCAAAAACAGAGAATAAGGCAATGATTTTGCCAATTTTCATCCCATCAAAAAAGTCTCCAAATAGGCCATTTTTAAAGTTTGCACTATTTAAAAATATTTCTTGCACTATTTAAAAATATTTCTTGCACTATTTAAGATATTTATGGTATTATTTTAAATATTAATTTAAAATTCAGATAATTCTTTATAGCAGTTTAAAATTATAGCTTTGTTTCAAGTGGAAGAAGTGGAAGTGGATTGACTGTAGCATTTTATTTTACTTTGCGAATGAGCATCGAAAAATCACGTGGAAGTTTGAAAATTTTCTTAACATATACAGTCAAACCCCGTTATAGTGAGCATTGCTTATAGTGAACTCTTTGATATAGTTAACGAAATATTCACTCCCGTGCCTTGTTATACATATTTTTTGTGGATATAGTGAACCAAAAGAGAGGAAATTTGATATTATGAACTTTTTTCTACCTTTGAATGATTTTATTTCTTCGTTTTTTGGTAATTTTAAAATTTCAACCAAAACTCCATATACCGACTATTAAAACCATCCATTGAGTGGCATGTAGCCACAAGCATCTTTTTTCTATCGCAGTTTCCCATCCCCAAATTTTTTGTACGCAGTACGAAGAGAAATAAGAAAAAAATTTACACATTTTTTGTCACTACATATTGTTTTTTAATCATTTTTGTCTTTCTTTCTATTGGTAATTTAGTTAAATAATGTCTAATAAAAAGGGAGCAATTAAGAAAAATTAGTTAAAATTGTTTGCCGTACGGATCTGGTGAACTACCCATTATAATGAACTGAAATTTCTGTCCCATAAATGTTCACTATAGCGGGGTTTGACTGTATTATAAATATTCAATGTGTCCCATTCCTTGCCTTTTGTTGCACGGAAAAGATTACCCAATACGTCCTACAACTACAAGATTTATTCTGCCATCACCTTAGTGGCAGTTTATGCAACTATCACCTCCCGAAGTAAGCAGAACTTGGAGTCCTCTTTTCATTAGTATGTAAATTGCTTATGTCGAATTCATTTTTTTATTAAATGCAAACTTGTAACTTTGTCCATATTTTTAAATAACCCTATATAAAAATCTACCAACCTCCCAACGAAGCTTTCAAGGGTGCTGCTCTTGCCAGAACTCTGGCCTCCTACGACGACAATTTGCGGTAGAGATACATTAAGAGTATGACCACAGGCAGCAATTTTGCTTCGAAGATTATTCACAACGTCTATCAGATCAATATCTCCTTTCTGTCTCCTACCTGTAAGGAGATATTTAAAATAGTATAATAAAAAAATTTTAGTTTTACATGTGGATGAAAAAGGTAACAGATTTTGTCAAAATTTAAAAACTAAAATGTGAGAAACACTTTTGAAAGAAGAGGGTAATTTTCGACGAAGATAGAAACTAATTACAATAGTATTTCCTCATAGTTTTAGGTCTGACAAAAATTATAAAAAATTTTTTTAAAATTATATTTGCCCAAGGCTGAACTACAATAGTAACTAAATGCTACATATAGGGGCTGTCTTGCTTTATTAGAAATGGCTGTCACAAAAGCAATTTTGTATCTTATTTCTATGTAAGCAATGGTTATAACACTCTGCTACGCTTTGCCATTAGCCATGGCTATATCTGGAAAAGTTGGATTTATGGAATGCAATATTTGGTTCAAAATAAAAATTACGATTGATCACTTATAAAAATTATTAGTGTCTCAATTTAGTTTTTTAAAACCTAAGCAATTAATATTTTTGTAAGTTGCGGATCTTAATTACTTATACATCTTTACCTCTAGTATAATAATAAAATCGAAGAAATTTTCTTAAGGGTAATGTGAAACAAATATTGTTAGATTTAAAAGTAATTTTATTGTATTGAATAGTTTCAATAGGCACAATGTCGTTCTCTAAGACATCAAAACCCAGTTAGGCATTCCAAGTCTGAATTTAACCATCTGTACACAGGCTTCTCCTTACTTAGTTTAGGATTTTAAATATGATAAAATCATTCTATTTACATCATTAACTAATTCTGATTTGAAGTGTCAGTTTTCTTAATTATTTCATAAACAGCCTGACACACAAATTTGCTTACTTCACAGTTCTGTTTACAAAAATGTAAAAATTACTCGCTTCAACAATAAAACTCGAAACTCTCAAAGATATAAAATGGCGTAGTTATGAATATATTAATGCTCAGAAATAAATATCAACTCAAAGCAATTTTGTTTCTTCTTCTCAAAAAAGAATGAATAAACTAACGCTAAAACAAACTGTTACCATAACAACTTAATTTATCGAAGTAGATCAAAGATAACGATTAAACAGACGATAATTCTCAACAATCCTGTTTTGACACAAATATAATCATTTCATTAACTGGCTTTGCCCAAGTGTATCAAAAAAAAAAAATATTACCTAGACGTAGTTGACCGCTTGAACCATTGTTAACTTAGGAGTTGCTTATGAATCTAGCTCAGCTTTGGCCATTCCAATGCTTCTAATATTGTTTAACATCCATTGTTAATGTTTGCCCATCACATTGAATGCGCAAAGCAAATGACATCCTTTTTCCATAAAAGGATCTCAAACATACAGTAAAAAAATTCGTAATATTAAAATATCAATTAAAACAAATTACTAAATGTGATTTTGTAATTCTTTCGTTGGTAAACAACGGTTTCACGTTTTCTCACATCGAAATTAAATATTATGCAGCGTAAAAGATTATTATTTTTTCCTGTTAGATTAAAGAAAGCCCTGGATCATTTAAGTTGAGTTGTTCGAACAGATTAAATTTAGCTAATGAACAGCCTGCATACAAATGATCGCAATAAAGTTCAGTCTTTCGAAACAAAAAGGTCAAAATTCCTGTTCGTGATAAAATAATAATTAATTTTGCTTGATCTATTAGGGAAACTATTGTAATTTGCATTGCATCTTGCGCAACATTTCAGTTGAAATTTGGAATAGAGGTAAATTCATTTGAAGTTCAACCACAAACCGGTTTGTAGGGGGGGGGGTGACATTCACACACACACAAAAGAGAAAGGACATAAAACATACAGAGAGAAAGAAACATCCATGCCTTTCCCGGGATTCGAAACCAGAACCTTTCTGATGCAAGGACAGTTTCCTGCCCCCTACACAGGCCGGTCGGCAGTTAGCTGATGCAATTTTATTAATAACATCACACTAGACCTACACTAAATTAGCTGCTAGCACAATTAAAAATATTTAATAAGTTTTCAAGAAGCTTTTTAAAAATTATTCAAAAATATTTAACAACGATTTGTTAAGTGTATTCTGCCTCCTCACTATTCTATTACTCGAGTATATAAATTTAGGTTTTAAACAAGACCATCAAAAGATCTTATTTTTAAGCATAATCCTCTTTTAAAAAAGTTATTTTCTTGTTAAAATGTTTTGTCACGATTTTTAATTTCCTCAAAATATTAAAATAGTAAGCGTTATGCTTACGTTAGGCGTTATGCTTACTATTAAGCAATGGTTTAAGCAATTTAACCATTGCTTAATAGTAAGCATAAGTTTAGGTATTTCAAACAAATGACACATATGCTATAGAGAGCTTGGAATTTACATGACAAACGTAAAAATAAAAACTATTTTTTTGCGAAAATTAAGGCTAGTTTAGGTTTACTGAAATCACGACTAAAATCCATTAATGCGTTGACATAAAGTGTTCTACAAATGAAAAATACATATATAAAGGAAATGGTAGTATATGTTTGCTTATAACAAATGTATATTTAAGCAAAAACCAACTTGTATATAAAGCAACAAAGTATATAAAGCACAAATGAAAGTACATAAATTGTCATACTATAGTTTCAGTTCTATAAGAAAGAACCTTCTTCAGTGTTTGAATGTTAACTTAAGTAAATAATTAATACCTTTCATTTCAGCTTCTTCGCCAGTCGGAGCGTCGAAGAAGTCGGGACTAGAGGAAGGTTCTACGTTCGAATCTGCCGAGGAAACAAAACAATTAAAAAGCACTGTAAAATAAAACTTAAACGCACATCCTTGTATAACTGAACATCCTTGATTCTTGGTATAGAGCAACATCTAAATCCAAAAGTTACATATGACGTTTCACTACGCCTCTTGGTTGTTAAGTAGTCGCCATTATTTTTGATGTTGAGAAACACTAAAGTTGTTTAGTGTATCGATGTTTCAAAATAAGAATTATAAATAATTTAAATTTTATTATATAATTTCATTATAAATTTTATCTGAATACAAATTCGTCGGAATTCTATCAACATAAATATTAATGTAGCTCCTAAAAGTTTAATAATTCCTGGGAAACATTTTAATTAAGTCCGAAATCAATGAATTTTTGGCGCCGAGGCATTAGGTGGACTTTATCTAAGTTGAAATTTTTTTCTAAATTCGAAGGAGCCGTAATAATTTTCTGAACGGATGCAGCTTGAGGAACAGACCTGTTCCGGTCGTTATCGCAACAAATTATTCTTCCTAATACTGTAACAATCAAATAAGAGTGAAAAAAGTAGGAAATTTTCGACCTATAGTTCATATATATGTAGTTTCAAAGTAAAATAAGTTTTCAGCTTAAATTTTTTTTTTTTTAAGAATCTAATTCTGCCACAAAAACTATAGACCTCCAAAATTGAACTCGTAACTCCTTATACATATTCCAGACACTCTTTAAAAACTGCTAGTATTCCCTTATATTTCTATTAATATACCAAATAAACAAAAAAAATAGAAGAAACATAAACGTCTAAAATTAATACAAATAAATTGCGCATAATGAATTCGAATATATATTTTAAGTCCTATCTTTCCCAAGTTTTTTTAATGCGCAAATAGTAAGCAAACAAATACTACTAATTAAATTTTTATCAGGTAAAAAAAAAGCCTTATTGCAATTGCAGCAAAAAAGCAATAAAAAGTAATGAAAAAAGGGAATATATGTCAAAGACACACAGTAAAGATGGTTCAGCCTTCCTTTGATCCTATGTAATTCTAAGGAAGATACGGACTTGTTACTTTACTGTGTCTTTCCCTGTTCTCTCATCCATTCTGATGTAAAAGAAATTGGAAGGCNTTGGTTGTTAAGTAGTCGCCATTATTTTTGATGTTGAGAAACACTAAAGTTGTTTAGTGTATCGATGTTTCAAAATAAGAATTATAAATAATTTAAATTTTATTATATAATTTCATTATAAATTTTATCTGAATACAAATTCGTCGGAATTCTAACAACATAAATATTAGTGTAGCTCCTAAAAGTTTAATAATTCCTGGGAAACATTTTAATTAAGTCCGAAATCAATGAATTTTTGGCGCCGAGGCATTAGGTGGACTTTATCTAAGTTGAAATTTTTTTCTAAATTCGAAGGAGCCGTAATAATTTTCTGAACGGATGCAGCTTGAGGAACAAACCTGTTCCGGTCGTTATCGCAATAACTTATTCTTCCTAATACTGTAACAATCAAATAAGAGTGAAAAAAGCAGGAAATTTTCGACCTATAGTTCATATATATGTAGTTTCAAATTAAAATAAGCTTTAAGTTTAAAATTTTTTTTAAGAATCTAATTCTGCCACAAAAATTATAGACCCCCAAAATTGAACTCTTAACTCCTCATACATATTCCAGACACTCTTTAAAAACTGCTAGTATTCCCTTATATTTCTATTAATATACCAAATAAACAAAAAAAATAGAAGAAACATAAGCGTCTAAAATTAATACAAATAAATTGCGCATAATGAATTCAAATATATATTTTAAGTTCTATCTTTCCCAAGCTTTTTTAATGCGCAAATAGTAAGCAAACAAATACTACTAATTAAATTTTTATCAGGTAAAAAAAAAGGCTTATTGCAATTGCAGCAAAAAAGCAATAAAAAGTAATGAAAAAAGGGAATATATGTCAAAGACACACAGTAAAGATGGTTCAGAATTCCTTTGACCCTATGTAATTCTAAGGAAGATACGGACTTGTTACTTTACTGTGTCTTTCCCTGTTCTTTCGCCCATTCCGATGTAAAAGCGAGATTGGATGGCTAAAAAGAGTGAAGATCATGGGTATACTAATGTCATCCTACGCAACTAGGGGCACTTACCCATTACAGACAAGCTGTTCGTGCGCATTCAAAACATTGCTTTTTTAAACTAACTTAAGCTTTGTTTAGTAATAATTATCAAAATCTGTACTCAAATAGGTTCATCTTCATAGTTATTAATTTGGAAACTAACTTGCAAAGCTCACCAATTTGTTCGCAAAATGAGCAAATAACTTAAAAACATCTATTTTGGGCTCATTTTGACTATAATTATTAAGCATGAAACTAAGACAATTCAGATAAGAGTACCACTTCAAATGGGCATGAACAGTCAACTCACAATGAGGAAGCGCTCCTACCGGCGTACCCGGTCACGAGATGAGATTTTGTTTCCTATGATGTGTCTTACGCTTAAGTTTGTAATCGCCGAACTGAACCCACCTGTATACATTTTGAAATATTGCCAAAACTGGATTTTAAAAATACACATAAGAACAGCATATCATTAATGCGAAGAAAAACTTTTACATATATCATTTTCGAGATAAATTGCAGTGAAATATTGATTTAAATCATAACTAGTAGTTTGTTGGGATTTTAAACAATAATTTTATTCTTCTTTTCAGAGTTTTACCTGATGTTGGCTTTGATGCTTTCAATTCTACCTTTACTGCAATTTACACAAATATAGGTGAAATCCTAAATCACATTATGAAAAATATTTTCTTCCTTATTCAGATATTAATTTATATCTTTTGCATTTAGTTAGTCCTTTTTTGTTAATTTGGAAAAAAAACCAGCATCTGATAATAAATGAAACTTTGCATATGAGGTCATGGTTGGCATAAATGAAATTTCCAGAAAATTTGATCTTAAACCTTTGAAAATAACTGAACTCAATAAAAACTTTCATATCTTTATACATGTTATTATTAGGAAAATAAAATTTTTTATCCTTTATTTTGTTTGGCCATTGCTATTAATCTAAGATTAGAAGGAAAATATTTCATGTACCATACTGTTACGAAAGATCATGCAAATGACCATACTGTTTATTGAAATAAAAAAGTAACAATAAAAGTGAAGTAAAAATAACTATAGTGAAATAACGAACTAGCGTTTCCACAACATTTTAAAAGTTTTCTGCAGTAATCATTCTAAAATACATTTAGGAACATCATTTACTTAGAAACACTAAGAAAATGGCTCAGAGAACCAACTGTGATCAGTGATACAATAACTAGTGACTGAGTATATAAGTCCCTAATCAAATTAATATAAAGCTTAAGCTTAAAGAACAAATCTATTAGTCCTCCACACAGTGGAGTTTGAAATGTAGGATAAAGAAGATGGAGAATATGAAAACAGCTGGGTTCAACAGAGAAAAATAAGAATTAATTTGAAAAATATATATTAATAATTTATCTGTGTACAATGAATCCTCATTTTTAGGATTTTGCGGGAAAGAAAAAAAAATAAGAGCATCCTACCTATAAGGGCCGAAATGAGAAAAAAAACAAGATACGGAGTTAATAAAAATTATTTTTAACGTTATCTAAACAAGATTTTAAAAATATGCTCTTGTTAATTTAGAACTCAGATTCAATATCTATCAAATAGAATTATATATATTTTCATTTATACTTTACGCAGTACAACATAATTTGTGAAGACGTGACGCCAAATTTATTGATTTATGAAGAGATTATTTTAAAAGATTTCAAAGTCTTTTTACGGACAAGAAAAACAGATTCCGGGCGAAATTTTACTTTTGAAAAGCGCAGTTAGTGAGGCCATTTAATTCATAATTTTTATCTTTCTACTCAAATGGGACACAGTTGTCAGAAAAAAAAAACATAAAATGGGAAGCTTTATTTACAAGCAAAAATACATAATGATTATAAAAAAGATGGAGGATATGAAAATAGCTGGGTTCAACATAGAGAAAAATATAGATTAATTTGAAAAATATATTACATTTTAATAATTTATCTGTGTACATATTATCCTCATCTTTAGGATTATATCTGTTTTTGGTATTTTTCGGTATTTTTATTTATTGAAAAAGACAGTCTAATAGTTACATACTAAAAAAATTCTATTAGATTACCGGGATTACATTTGTACTAAAAAATGAAATAAAAATAAAGTAGTTTGAATAAGAATGGAAAAAAAAATTCAAACATTTATTAAGAACTGATTTTTTAGATTAAAGAAATTTCAATGATGAATAATTGTTTCTCTAAGATCTAAATAAGCGCAAATTTGAAAAGTTTCTGTTTGGAAGTGAATCGTGCTTGGAAGATTTTACCTTTAACTCAGAAAAAAAAGACTGGTGTTTCATACTCTATTATTAAATGGCTAAATATAATCTTTTCACTTAATAACCAAAATAAATACAAAATAGTGAAAAAAAAGTATGAAAAATAAGTTCCATAAAAATTTGGCTTTAAAGGGCAAGAATTACAATTGTTTGAAAAACTTTTTTTCATCTACAAAACAGTACTTCATATTCAAGCAAACATATTACATTATCTTCTTCGTATTCAAAAATTAGTTTTACAAAACGTTTATTTTCGTAATTGAATGTCTCAAATCCAAAACAAAAAGAATTAAGCTTTCATTTCATGCACGAGGAATAAGTATTTCTTATAATAAACCTTCATTACAGTGTTTTACTAAGTCTTTGTCATTAAATTAAACAATGCTTTTTTATGAAATTACAAAACAACTTGAGAGTTTTTAACAGCTATTCATGAAAAATGTTACGTTTTGCCCATTTAAGTCGAAAATTCACCTTGTTAAACAACGCAAGTGGTCAATCGGAAAATAGCCTCAGTTTTGCGAATGATATTTATTTTTGAAGTTATACTTCTTATGCGACTTCCAACAAGGTTGCGTTAAATGTTTAACGCTACATTTTTATTGGCCGAGAAATCACGTGGTAGGATCCAGTTTTCCATCATTCATTTCCATATTGTTTTGGTTCTCACTAGCATAAAAATAATAAAAGTCATAAAAGTATTGTTTTTCCATAAATATTTTTTTAGTTTGTTTTGATACACATATAATTTAATAGGGTAGTATTTTTTATTTTCAAACTTAGTGGATAACAATTGCAAAAAATGAGTGAAAACAATCCCACGAACAATGCGACGGATTTAAGGTTATGTCAATGTACGTCTCTTGTGAATATCACATGATTGTTAGGTTTTTTATTCTGAAATTACATTATGACGCATTCACATACATTATTAATACAAATACATTTTCCTGGGCAAGACGATGAGGCAACCACAAGCACTGGTTCAAGAGGTCCACGAGGGAAAACTGCGCAATATTACGGTGATTACAGAGCACGGAAGTGAGCGGAGCAGGAAAAAGAGTCGTTGAATAGAACTAGTGATCCTTCTACGACTGCTGATTCTTCTACAATTAAAGTCGCAGGTTGCGAAGTTTAACTTCTTCCGCGCGGAGGGACTTCACACACTATTTTTTTTTTTTTTATTATAAAGTTAGAGAATTATTCACCGATTTTAATTCTTTCAATTTATATGGAAATAAGTAGAAAAATTTGGGATTTCAGAAAAGTTTGATGTTTTGTAGAAATATTTGAAATATTAGTTAGTTTCAGATTCCGAGCAATTCTTAATAGTTTATCGTGAAGGGATCACTGCTAAGTTTGAGTTTATTACGATCCAATTAAAATAAGTACGACCCAACTAAATGTAAATGAGTAAATGAAGAGTGGTTTTTCTCTGTTAAGATAGATATCTTAATATTTTGTATTTCAGCCGCTGAGGGCCATTCATTTTGTTTACAAATCCTTAGTATTGTTTTTAAATGTTAATAAATATTTCTGTTTCTGTCAATATTACTTTTCAGTTGGATTCATTATGAAACCAGTAACACTAGTCTCTTATTGTGTAAATTCGAAGCTTTTAATTCAAGTGTAAGTTAGTTAAAACTTCCTTTCGGCAAAAGAAATTTGAAGAATACTTGTAGCAGGATTTCCACAAGTAATATCAAATCGTAGAGATCAAATATTTTGTAAAGGATAAGTTTTAAGGAAAAAATAATTTGTGAAGGACTCTAGTCATTTTTAAACAGACTCCTAGATTCGAGGTTAGCATCCGAAGTAAAAATAAAATAAGAGAGTCAATAATTTAAGAGAAAATTTAAAAATGTATTTCGATAACCTTACTGTAAACTTACAAAAGAAAATTCGAAAAAAAAAATAAATAAATTAAGATTAACACTCATTAGTTGTAGACTTTTTTTTTTTCAAACAAAGATTTTCATACTCTAATACACGATAACGTTTACAAATTTAAACCAATTCTAACGAAAATTTAAAACATTTTTTACTATGAAGATTTTTTGGAAATAAATGACATCACGGCATTTACATTAAAAAACAAACCTGTAAAAAATAAGCTTATCTTCGATTTAATTTATATTTTCCTTCAGAAGTAGCCAAGGAAAATTCTAAAAGAATTATTTATTGACATTAGTTAGGTTAGATTGAGTTTTAGAGGTAAATTGCATAAAAACAGAATCGCCTACACTGACAAAATTAAAAATGGCATTACTTTTTTTAGGTTTACAAAAATATATTACAGTTTTCAATACTAATACCGATGTAAAAAATCACTGGAAAAACTTGAGGTCATGAAATCTACATTGATAAGAAAAAACCTATTTTCCTGAGATAGTACTAATTTGGAAACTGCCATTTGGTAATGATTCCAGAATTCTGATTTTTACCCAATTTACAAAACTCTTGTAAATTTTCATTTTGTTTTAAAACTTTAGAGTAAGAAATGTGATATTTCATTAATTTTGAAGGTAATATTACTAATAAAATTTATTCAGAACAATATAAATCAAAATATTAGAAACCAAAAAACTGAAAAAGGTTTTTCGAAGATAATTGCATAATGTAAAGAAAGAAACAACTAAAGAAAAATTATATAGGGCCTCGCCACCTTTTACAAATTTTGAAAATCTAGATCATAAATTTTAAAGTGACTAGGGTAACAAAAGATCCCCAGAAAGGAACAGAATCGAGAAATTTTAAAGTTTCAGATATACTAGATTATTAACAAGTGATCGAATATTGACAATTTTAATTTTTATATTGCTTAAGGGGGGGTGGGAAAAGAATAATCAGAGTTGCTAGTCAAATCAAGAAACCGGACAAATTCATCAATTTGAAATAAATAAAATATGTAAACCAATCGCGTATTCCAAATTTAATACAGTTATGAAACTCTTGAAATAACTATCGTTTAAGATTATATTCGGGAGGTGGAGAAAAAATACGAATTAGGTTTCTTAAAAAAGGTGTGTCTTCATATCTATATAATTATGCAACATTATTCAAAGCTAATCAAAAAATGTTTTTAATTCCTTTAGTCATCTGATATAATAAAATGTTTGATAATATTTAAACAGTTAATTTTTCAATTTAGAAAAATCTCGGAAGTTTGTCTTGTTAAGCTTCAATACTACATTCTTGAAGGGCGAGGAAATTAGGAATAATAATTTGAACTAAAAAAAATTTTTTCTTACCAGACATCCTATTTATTACACTGGAGATAAAAATTCACCTCCTAGAAAAGAGAAGGACTCTTCGGTTCTTGAGTTTAGTGAAGAAGAGGATTGGGTATTGAGTGTAGTAAAGTGCGGCGAGCTCTCTGCTTATCGCTTATAGCTCTGCGTTTCAATAGGTAAGACTTAATTTAGCAGCTTAATTTCAATAGGTAAGGTTTAAGGTTGGAGCTGGGTAGATAGCACAAGGTTGGAGCGAACTGCTAGAATCTGTTAGTTGCTTGGAAGAATTTTAAGAGGGATTGGATTTTGGTCCGGGAGTTGAGAAACAAGTTAACTAGATCAGTGAAAACTGGGCTCTGCAGGGATAAGGATTGATAGAGGTCTTTACGAGCATTTTGATAAAAGGAGCACTTCAGGAGATAGTGTTCGTTCGAGTCTATATGTCCGCAGTTGGGGCACTTAGGACTTTCTACTAACTTGCACTTATGTAGAATCACGTTAGTTGGAAGCATTTTCGTCCGGAGTCTGGCTATTAACACATCTAATTTTCGGGACTTGATAAGTGGGCGGTAATCTCGAGGTTCGTCGGAAAGAATTGGAAGTATTTGCACTCTTTCCATTCTCTGTGTTCTTTGTTGAGCTCTTCTTTCAAAAACACTTGACTAAGATCTTGGGGGGATAAAAGGTGCGAAATAAAATCTTGATTTAGTGCCTGTTTAGTGAGTTGGACAGCATGTTCGTTTTCTATAATACCAGTATGGGATGGGATTCAGATAAATGAGAGTGACTTCACAATTTGGCTAGATTTTGTTATTTGTTCTAGGAGAAGTAGTGAGATTCTTGGAGATTTTCTAGTGCCTTTGGAGAGGGACTGAAGTATTGAGTGGCTGTCTGTTAGCAAGGTATAATGTTCGTGGCTGGTAACGCAATGTTTAAGGGCGAGGAAGATCACCAATCCTTCTGCGGTAAAGACTGATGTTTGTGACGGAATTCGGCCAGAGACCGTATAACCTTTAGAGGAATATATATCCACGCTGGTCTTGTCCGATTGTTTTGATCCGTCTGTTGCCAGAACAATGCTGTTGGTAAGGTTTCGATAGCGTAACTCTTCAAATAAGGCTCTTATCTGAGGTGGGGCTAGATTCTTGGTTTGGAATGCAAAGTTGTCTAAATGAATGACGACATTTGGAGGACTTGGAGTAGGGGTATGGTATTTGATGATGTTATTTTGGGAGAGGTTCTTGCTAATCATCCATTTACGCATGTATGGTATTAGCGGGGCCAATTTACCTTGTGGAAGGTTGGATAGTGGGAGATTAAGGTGATGGAAGACTGGAGAATATGACTGTAGGGAGGTGTAGCGGAAGAAGAATTTAGCTGCTATCCATTTGTGACGTGAAGCTAATTTACTCACTCCCGCTTCTTTGAGAAGTAGTGGAACGGGTGTCCATCGAGGTAGTCCTGTTGCTACCCTAAGCGCCGCGTTGTACAGGATTTCTAGGGTTCGTAAACCTGTTACACTTGAGGAGGTAAATATGTGGCTACCGAAGTCTAAAACACTTCTGATGCATGAGTTTGCGATTTGAAGAAGATGTTCTGACTGGGCTCCCTAGCGGGTGGTGGCAATACAGTGAAGAGCGGAGAGTTTCTTTAAAATTTTTTGTTTTAATATTCTGAAGTGGTGGTAGAAGCTCAGGTTACTGGAGAAGAGAAGCCCGAGAATTCGGAGATTTTGAGTCCACGGAATGGGTTTATTAAAGATGTTGAGACTGAAGTTATCACCTGAACGTCTTCTAGAAAAATTGATGACGGCGCTTTTTTCCGGAACGATTTCGAGACTCCAGTCCTTGCACCATTCCTGAATAAGGTGGAGTGAAAATTGCATCTTATGTCTTACTTCGTGGGTGGTTTAAGCGGTTGCTATAAGGTAGATGTCATCTCCAAAAATGAGGCAAGATATGTCACCTGGGAGGACGGGATGCAGGTCTGACATGTAAATCATGAAGAGGAATGGGGAGAGCACAGATCCTTGCGGAACGCCTCTGTTCATAGGAAAGTTGGCTGAAAGCGCTTTCCTCCATCGCACAGCTATTTTTCTTTGGTTGGCAAAGTTGTGGATGAATTTGGAGGCTCGACCAGTAATTCCGGACTTTAAGAGTTTGAGGATTAAATATTCCTGGTTTATACTGTCATACGCAGCGTGAATGTCTAGGGAGCAGCAAATTACATACTTTTTTTCGAACCGAGCCTGGAGCACTTCATGGTGAAGAATGGTGAGAACCGAGTCTACACCTTTGAATGGTAGGAATCCACAGTGATAGGGATGGAAAATTCCAGTTTTCAGTGAAAAATCGCCGAGTCTCTTTAAGAGCATGAGGATTGGGTTGACTGTTGATGATGTGGGGGGGACTGTTGGTGATGATGTGGGGAAGACTGTTGGTGATGATGTGGGGAGGATCTCTGCTACTCGCTTTTTCCCCCTTGCTGTAAGGTGTATCTTTGTGAGTTGCGTTGTTGGTGGTGATGATGGTGGCCAAGAGATGGTGAGAGTGTACGCTGTTCTTGAAGAAGCGAAGCAAATTTACTGTGGAGATCAAAATTAAATATTTTTTCAAAACATTTTTGGAGAGGTTGATTTGATAAAATTAAAATCTAACATTTGGTGGTTCCAACACTTTTGGAGAAACACGTTCATCAAAACAAAATTCTTAATAAATGAAAAACTCTTTTTCCCAGGCTCTCAGAGAGGCTTAAACCAAAAACTTAAAAATTTGTAACTGCATTTAATAAGGGATTTGAAAACTGGAGTTTAGAAACGCTTAGTTGAAATTAAAAAATCCACTAAGTTTTTAAGAAGATTATCATATTGGTCATAACTAAGAGGACGGTGACGGGAGAGTGGGAAAACTCCGATTGAGGCGCGCAGTGTTTGTCTCTGATGTTCAAACTTTTTGCATTCAAAGAGGAGGTGGATAGCAGATTCTGGATGTTGACAGTGGTCGCACAAAGGGGAGTCTACGAGCCCTATTTCTGCACATATTGCGTTAAGTTGGATTGTGTTGCTTCGGAGACGCGAGATTAAGATATCGTATTTTCGGTTTGGGAGTTAATTGAGGGAAGTTTTATTAACAGGGTGATCAAAGGGGAAACGCTTGTGGTATTTTGAGTTAGTCCGGAGGTTATTGAGTTCGCGGTTTGAGTCTAAAACTGCTGAATATACAAGTCTTCAGGTAAGATAAAGGGGATGGCTCGAGGGGCATTGGTGGCGTGTTTGTCCAGTTTATCCGCAGTTTCATTGGGGGGGGGTGTCAACGTGTGCTGGAAACCAGACGATCGTAAGAGATTTCACTGTTGCACTTGCTGAAATGATCTTTTTTGTAAGAGGAGGATTTATGGGTAGCCGAGATGAGGGCCGTGATTGCGGATTTACTGTCCGATAAAATAACGTAATCAAGATACTCGGTGGTGAATTTTGTGATTGCTAACCAAATCGCTAAAACTTCTCCAGTAAAAACTGAGTTAATAGAATGGATTTGAGAGATATCACGCAGGTTGTTCCTTGAACTAATAGCCGCAATTTCTGTGTTATTATTGGATTTCGAGGCATTGGTCGCGAGAATGGTAAAATCTTTCCAAATGGTGTGAAGGGTTTCCTGATAGAGAGGGAGGATTTCGTGGGGATTTTTCGCAGTTTGATATGAAAGTTCATGTACATAAAGACAGAGGTTCGGAAAATCTGTGAGAGAAACCGCAATGTAGAAGGGGAAGATGTTGTATTCACTCATGCATTTTTGGTTGAAGATGTCCTGAAACTTGAGAAAAAGGTGAGATTTCTTTTTATGTCTAGTAAAATGGAATTTATGCAAAAGGTGCTTCATTGGAGAGTGAGATCCAAGGGAACAGTGGCGGAGGTAGAATTTTTTTGCTACTAAAAAATGTCTGTGCGATATTGAGGTGGAGTCAGCTTCTTTGTGAAGGATATGAATTGGGGTTCAGCGTGGGAGGCCCGTTACTGTTCGGAGGCTAGAGTTGTAGATTGTTTCAACTACTCGGAGATGTGAATTGGGGCAGAGAAGAGGGTTGGGCTGCCATACTCTTAACGCATTTCTGATTGTAGCATTTACAATCTGAATGAGGTGATAGGTTCGGGACACCCCCACTGCGTATTAGAGAGTGCATTAATTTTTTTTTAAACATTTCGTTTTCAGGTACTGAAAATGACAGGGGAAAACATGTTTGCAGTGTAATTTTGATGGAATTCAATATGAACGATCTTAGTTTAAGTTTAATATATTTTCATATAATATAATTAATAATAATTCTTAAAGGTGTTATTTTATTGATAATGAATGATTTTTTTTAAGGGAGCGACTTTTTATTCCGCATTAATAAGAAACACATGCATTGAAACTGCTATATTACCCCTTACATTATATCATTAAAAATGTATTGCATTAAATCAATAGTGATTTTTTTTAAAAAAAAAAGATCAATAATTTAAACAAATTGATTAAATTACATTTTTTTCAATCAATAGTTTTTTTAAACATAAAATATTTTATGCAATAGAATTAATAAATGTACTATTTTGGGAGCTATTTTTTTAAGTCTGATATTATCGATAATAAAGATTTTTTACTAAGATTTATTGAAAGGGTAAATTATTATATTTTAAAATAGGGTCAACATGAATAAGATTGATATGCAACCTTTAAATTGTAATTTTTCATCAAATACATTTAAAATACTTATCATTTAGTTTTTTGCTAATTGAAATGCAGTGCTTTTATATCTTATTTAATATGTAGTTAGCGTGTATCAAGACCTGCTCAATCCAGAGTAATATATATAAAAAAAATTTAAAGCAATGTTTACTTATCTAAATTAATTTATTCTTCATTAAGTATCTGTTTGACTAATTGTTTGGCAATTTTTAACAATCATCAGCAAGTTGAACTTGAAAAATATAACTGATCTTTTTTTAACCCAGTGATTAGTATGTAATAATATAATAATTTTTATCCATTTTATAGCTATTTTTGTTACATAATTTTTAAACAATATTAAGTATTATTAAAATCTTTTATCAGATGCTTTGGATGATAAATTTAAAAAAATCTGATTTAAGTTTAAAAAAATCATGATTTTTGCCAACTGCGGCTTCTGATCAGTGTTGTACCCAAGTAGCACAATTCACAAAAACGATATCGTNATTCT